CGGGTCCTGCCGGGAGACCCGACCCACCTCCCGCGCTCTGCAGCTCCCGGCGCTGGGGCCGCTCGCGGCGCCGGCCGGGCGCCCCGGACTTGATCTTCGGCATCTCTGCAGGCCGCGGGCACACAGGCCCAGGAAGTCGGCGAGGACCAGAGCCGACTACCCCGCTCGCCGCACCACGAGGGAATCACCGTCCAGGCCGCCGCACCACGTGGGAATCGCCGTCCACGCCTCCGCTTCACTCCCAGCCCCGATGGGGAGGCGAGAGGCAGGCAAGAGGCGAGGACGCGCCCCCCGGTCCGCTCTTGGCGTCGCTCCCAGAAAGAAGGCCGGCCTTGGAGCCCGGTGGCCGCTGGGCATTGTAGTCAAGAGCCAGAGGAAAGCCTAACTGCGGAAGCCTACGGATCCCAGAAGACACCGCGCTACCGATTCTGGAAGCTTGGATTGGCTAGCTTGGAGCCGGGGCGTGTCCTGTCGTCCCCGCGTGCGCAGTCGGCTGAACAGGTGTTGGTCTGGTACTCCGGAGGTTGTGGAGGGGATTTAAGTCGAATAACGCCATTGGGCCCTGTGGATGCCTTATCAGGCCAGGTTCTGGGCTCGCTGATGTCCAAAGGAGGTGTCTTCCCGTCGCGTACCTCGCTCCTGTTCCCCAGCACCCGTTGGGATGGGAAAGCCAGAATTTGGGGATGAGAAATCTGCTCCCTTCGGGGAGTGAGGGGAGTCTGCTGCTTGCGCGCTGCAAAGTAATTCCGAGAATATAGCAAGTGCGTGGTTGCACCGGGGCTGCTAGTTGCTCTCGGCCTTTGGTGCCACGTCCTTCTTCCTAAACACGTACTGAGCTCCGGCTGTGTAGTAAATACTGCTGCGTGGTGGAGAGTCAAAAGTTAAATCGGAAACTGCTCTGCTCAAAGTTTATTGCATTGAAAGAGACAAAACCTCCTAAATTCAGTAGATGTGGTAATTGGTATGCACTGGAGATTGTAACAGGACAATGTATCCCACCGTAAGTTCGTGAGTACAAGGTCCATGTCTGTTTTGCCTGCCAGAGTGATGGCTTCAGTTTTTAATGTTTCTGTGTTTACCCTGTTTCCTTGCAGGAGTTTTTTTCTGCCATGACCAAAGCTGACTCTCCCCTGCGCAATTAATTGTGCGCATTCCCAAGCCTTGGTCTTTCTTTGCTGTAATTTTAACTCAGGAGAAAACTCTTATACCCTAGTAGCATCTTCAACCACCTATTTCATTCCATTAATCATTAATTTATTACACAATTCTGGAGAATCTAGTGTGCCAGCCACTGTATCAAATGTTTAGGAATATAGAAAGATGAACATGACAGGATCCCTGCTTTTCAAGAACTTTGTGTCAAGAGGGAGACATGCAAATGATTGCAATTATAGGACCATGTCCTCATCAGTCAGGTGCTAGGTGCTTTAGTTACATTATCTCATTTAATATTTTCAGACAGTTCTTGGAAATAAGTCTTACCATTATATCCATTTTACAGATGAGGAAATTGAAGGACAAAAATGTTTAATATGTTGCCGAAGATCATACCGTAAAGATGACAGCCTCGTCTTGAACCTAGGTCTATATTCCAAAGCCTGTGCTAGTATGTGAGGAAATTGGGGAACATTTTCAAAATATTAATATTTGAGCTGAGTCTTTAAAGGACAAACATAAGTTAGCCAAGGAAAGTCTGGGACTTCAAAGGGAACCGCACCAACAAAGCCAAGATATAAAGATGTTTAAGGAAGAAAAAGAAACTTGGTATAGCTGAGAAATAAGTAGGTAAGGTAAATAGAGACTTATTGTGAAGGAGCTAAAATGTTGTGCTAAGGAGTGGTGGTGGTCATTGAGGAATCAAAATAACATTTTTGTCCTCACTGCACATGTCCAGGCTGTGAGAACTGCTGGAGGTCACACAGCAGTGCAAATAGACATTCATCCACATTTAGCTGGGTTCTGAACCCTGCCCAGCCCCTCTTCATGAATTCCCTCTGAGCTTCCTCTCCTGTTCTCCATAAAGGATCTTAAACCTTCTTAATTCTTCTCAGTCCTCCTTCCTACCACCTCCCCAACTCTTCAGCAGAAGACCTTGCTTTTTATGTTACAGGAATGCAAGACGCCTTAAGGACATTCTCGTCTTCCGGAGTCATTGATCTACACACTGGAGGGACAGTGATGGACAAAATAAACCGGCACTTACATTCCAGTGAGGAAAAACAGACATGTCATGTGGTGATAAGTGTGAAGAAAAACGTAAAGCAGAGGAGAAAGAGACCAACAGGGTGGTTGGGAGAAGCTATTTTATGTAGCAAAGTTGACAATGAGGATGGAAACCAAATGATAATTTTCTTTTGGAGTAAAATAGCAAGACCGTCCTGGAAGAGGTCACATATTTTAAGCCATATAAACTAAATGACTAAAGTGAATGGACACACTTAGTTTACCTACAGACTAAGTTGGTGTTTGTCTAGCTATGAACCTTCAGCCACCAGTGTCAGAAACACTAGGACACATGTTATGAGCTGAATGGTTCCTTACAAAGTCCATATGTTGAAGCCCTAATCTCTAGTGCCTCAGAATGTGACTATATTTCGCCTTTAAAGAGGTGACTAAATTAAAATGAGGTCTTCAGGGTGTTAACATGACTGGTGTCCATGTGGAAGGAGGAAATTTGGATGAAGAGACCTGGGGGGGGGGTGCACAGAGGAAAGACTATGTTAGAACACTGGGAGAATGCAACCATCTGCAAGCTAAGAAAAGAGGTCTCAGGAGAAACCAACCCCGCTGACATCTTTTTTTTTTTTAAATATGCCTTTATTGATTTCAGAGAGGAAGGGATAGAGTGAGATAGAAACATCAATAATGAGAGAGCCACTGATCGGCTGCCTCCTGCACACCCCCTACTGGGAATCGATCCCACAACCTGGGAATTGTGCCCTGACTGGGAATCAAACCTTCATCTCCTGGATCATAAGGTCGATGCTCAACCGCTGAGCCACGCCAGCCAGGCAGCCCTGCTGACATCTTGATCATGGACTTCATGCTTCCAGAACTGAGAAAATAAATTTCTTCCATTTAATCCACCCAGTCTGGGGTAGTTTGTTATGGTAGCCCTAGCAAACTAATATAGCATGTAATGAAAATTTCCATTCCTGAGACCCACCCTAAATAGTCTGGATTAGAGTAGGACTGAGCCCTGGCAAATGCATTTTAACAGACGCTCTAGGAGTTTCTGACCCACATGGAAGGTGAGGAATTCACTACTTTTTCCACTAAGATAATGGTTGATGAATTTCTAAAGAAATGAAAAAAGATGGGGAGGGCTACCATCATCAATACAGGGAAATTGTTTTAATAATTGGGTTGACTTATTACTCTGGTCAAATTTCATCCATTTTGCCTTGGCTGATTTGGCCCAGTTGGTTGGGCGGCGTCCTGTGCACCAAAAGGTTGCAGGTTCAGTTCCTGGTCAGGGCACATGCCCTGGTTGTGGATTGTGGGGCTGGATCCCTGGTAGGGATGTGTGCAGGAGGCAGCTGATCCATGTTTCTCTCTCATGTAGATGATATATTTTTTTCTCTCCCTCTCTCTTCCTCCCTCTCTAATAATCAATAAAAAATCTTTTTAAAAATTTCATCCATTTATGTTTTCTGTTAGCCAAGGCAGCATTCAGAAGTGAGACAATATTGGATGCACTATGGAGCCATGAGTCCTAGGAAATTGTGTGACACCAGGATCTGAGCTGTGATAAAGAAATGAGCATTGGAAATTTATGCTGGAATGTATTACTTATTTTTGTAGCTATGAATGGTTTAGTAATTATAAAAAATAATTTCATGCTTCTCCAGTTTATGTTTATATCCTTTATTAATTAAAAATAATTATTTTTCAATTTGGGTGTACACAATTGATTCATCGCCATTCTTAGAATTTTTTGTTGTTAATAGAATGATCTTAACTTAAAAAAAGAATTATAATAGCATTTTCTTTGATAGAAGAAGAGGCTTATTTACATTCACAGCATGCTTGAAATAACATTTAAAATGTGCCAGGGAATATAATGAATAAGAATAAAATGTGAGGGAAGCCAATGTTTCTTTAATTTAGCACTTGCTTCATCAACTTTCTGCTTTCTCTTTTCAGTTCAACAGTTTTTTGGGGGGAAGCACTGAATTTATATTTATATTTCAAATATATTCTGAACAGATCCAATGATGATTTAATTTGAATTAATTTAAATATTTGTTTGCCTTTGTCTCCAAAGAACCTGAGAACATGAGACTAAAACAATGAAATGCAGCTGTACACATTTGTTTTGTACATAGTATGTTACTAGTTTATACATCCATAGTAGCTGAAGCTAGGACCTCCAAGTGATTCTTAATTTGGGGTCCCAAAATTTGTGTTGGCAAAATTTTGTGTATGTGCATTTTAAGTTACAGCTTTCCTTAGATTTCCAAAAGATCCATTATCCTAAATAGAAAAAAATTATTTTCTAGGCCAGTATCTTCATTTTAATTCAAATTAGGCAATTTTTCTTTCTTTATCACTTATTCATTACAGCCTTGTTATTCAACATGTGGTCTATGGACCAGCAGTGTTGGCATTAGCTGGAAACTCATCAGAAATGAAGAATTTCAAGCCCCACCTCAGACAGCTGAATCAGGATGTGTATTTTAACAAGATCTCTACGTGATTCTATGCACACTAAAAAATTGAGAAGTACTACCTTACCTTCCAGTAAAATCAAAAGATCCAATTAATCAAAACAAAACAAAACTCAAAAAACAAAAACAACCCCCCATGGTATCATCCAACTACTGACAAACCTTGTTAGCCTTTTGTCATATATTTATTTCTAAAAATGGAAACATCCTGAATGTAATCCACTCTTTTCCCAATGCATTGTGAATGTGTTAACATGTCAACAAATACATGTTCATGTAATTTTTAATGGCCAATTTGTATTTTATTACATATGCATGCATCATGATTTAATCATTCCTTTCTTGGTGGTCATTTAGGTAAATTTCATATTTTTACTTTTAAAAACAGACCTGTGTGATCAACATCCTTATAATGCAGAACTTATGATTGTCTGGTTCAACTCTTAACACAGCCACTTGCTAGCTGTGTGACCTTAGGCAGGTTACTTGACTTCTCTGTGCTTTAGTTTCTTAAAATGGGCTTAATAAAAAGCACCTCAATAGGGTTGATTTGAGGATGAAAATACAGGATTCATGTAAAGATTTTA